TTGGGTCATAGTTATTTTAATAATACACTTCCTTGACACTTCCCACCCTACATCTCTCCCCAGTTACCCCTGATTGCTCCCTAAAATTTAAACCAAAAAAAAAAATCATAAACCTGAATTTAAAAGTTAACTCAATGTGGCCCTTACTTATACCTCTAACATTTTTTTCTTTCTATACATTCCTACAAGAAATTTCTATTGCAGCCAAGCTTACCATTCATTTTTCCACAATTAGGTCAGCCCATCATTCTAAGAACCTTGGGTGCCTTCTGCCTCTTCTCTAATTCTCTAAGTCCTCCTCTTCTCTGAATTCCCAGGGACAGTATGAGCTCTTCCATCAGGGCCCATCTCCTCTTCTGAATTCCTGCCCTAACCTTCTCCCTGGATACGCAGCCTCAGATGCCCAGCTCATGGCTAACGTGTGTCTCCAGCTTAACCGGTCCAAAATGCAACTCGATGCACACTCCACTACCACTCCCCTTTTGCTTCCTTTCCTACCTCAGTAAGTTGCAACACCATCTGTCTAATATTTGCTAAGTCCCTATTTTCCTCATTCCGCACATTCAATTCATTCATAAGTCCAATCAGTTCTACTCCCAAAATATATCTCACATCTTGCCACTTCTCTTTACGTTTATTGCTGTCGTTACGGCACCAGCCGCCATCATTTGGAGTATTGCAATAGTCTCCTGAAATGTCTCTCTCTTACTCAAACACATTCTCTACGAAACAGCCGTTAAAGCAACAAACAAACATAAATCCTGTCCCTCCCCTGCTTAGAATTGTCCGTATTCCTCACCACAGCGTGGAGACATAGCGTGACAAGGTCTGTCTCTAACGTCATCTTGGGCCACTCGCCCTGCCGGCCACATTGGCCTTCAGTGATTCCTACACTACACTATTACCAGGATTTTTTTTAACTTAGGCCCTGACACTCAGAGCCCCTTCTCCTTCCAAAAAGGCTATTTATCTTGGCTGACTGACTCCTTCTTTTTCAGATCTCAGCTTAAACCTGAGAGACCTTTATTAACCTCCTTATATAATGAAAGCTACCACTCCATCATTTTCTACCACACAGCCATATTTATTTCCTTCATGGCACCTACCACAATCTCTAATTATGTGATCATTCATTTAATTATTTGATATTGTAGTTGTTTTAAAATCATCTGTCACCAACACTAGAATGTAAGCTCAATAAAATCAAACATGAAGTCTTCTTGTTTTCCTTGTATTTCCAGCACTTAGCATTGTGCCTGGCTATAATAGGTGCTCATCTAATGTTAAATGAATGAGCACTACTTTAGGGCACAGATTATCCACTCCTTAGGGCTATTACTTATTATCATTTTGAGTTTATCTTACGATATTTTGTTTTCCTAATGCCTAGAAATGTACCGTAGATATACCTGGACTTCAATAATTATTTTTTATTATTATTAGCATTGATTAAATAGAAACCTTGAATTGTCAAATTGAGCACATGCAATATGCTTGGGGGATTAGGGGTACATTTGTCAGGAAACAGCTCATTACTCCTTGAATACAAATTTGAATATTAGTCAGGACTTTGAATAAGACTTTCATATAGCCCTGCCAACGAAAACAATACAGTCATGTAAAAGAAATGAATTAACCATGTAAACTTTGGTACAGATTTATGTTGAATTCAATATATTCTAAGAAAAACAAAATTATTCTCCTCTGGCTTGGCAAAGGCATCTGTACAAAGATCTTGAGACCAAACTTATGATGAATAGGCAATTATCCGAAATTGAAGGAAAATTAGAAGGTAGGATGAGAAGGAAGGAAAAGTCCTCAAAAGGTGCGTCCATGAGCCAGGCTTACCTGCAGTGAATAAGAGCAGTAGGAAGTAGACAGAAATTCAGGACAGTCAGGAAGGGGGGATTTATGAAATTTTCTTCTTTGTTTGAATTTCCTTTTTCTCTGTTAGAGAAATAGAGGATCTCTGGCTGAGGCTATTCACTAAAATGTCTTAAAAATAAATAATAATTTATAATAACATTTGAGAATGTGAATACATGCGAAATGAATAAACTCTGTCATTCTGCAAGAATAATTCCATATGTCACATCCGTCTCCCTCCCTCATGTGGGGTCATGGCCCCGTAAGCAAATGTGTCTAATTATGATCCCACCCTCATGAGGAGGCCCGTGCGAATTTCCTGGGACTCGGTTGTTGACATGACTTGATGGAGTTTGCTGGTTGCTCTTGGAGTACATATTCTTCTGTTGGCTTTCTTGTTGCAATGCATTTCAGAAGAATGCTTATCTCTCTGCAATATTGTTCTGCTTCAATTTATGAATAGAAAGCTTTTTTCCTAACCCTTGATTTTCTAGATTATGATTATTGTGGCCAAATGCAATTCTAAGATTTTGTGAGTTAGCAGATTTTGGCTATCTTTAATAAATCACAAGCTATGATTAGGGAACACATGTTTTATTTATGTTTTCCAGAATTAATTGTCTAATTTACTTTAGAAGTAAGCCTGGAAGATTGAAATCAAGGTATATAAAATAGGAGGGATTATTAATTTCAATTAAGTATTATTTATATTCAAAAGACTTCTAATTGCATTCTTTTATAGAAGTCATCTGTAATACATTCAAAATATGACTGAATCTTTAAAAGTTGTCTTTATTATTTTTATTTATCCATGACTTGTTCCCTATATATTTCTAAAGATGTTAGACAATTTACACTGTAAAACAAGACAATGGAAAGAAAAACAGAACAAAGGTCACTTAAAGTGAGAAGAAAAAATGGATCTGGTTGCTGGAAACATCTATTTTGCAGAGTGTGCTTGATGTTTTCTGAGTATAATAATATCCTTTCTCATGCATTGCGTCTGTGACTCTCACAGCAACCTGTTGTTGGCCCTATTTACTGGTTCACTCTACATTAATCGGATGCAATACTATTTGATAGATAATACATATTTAACATTAAAGGATAAGGTATTGTAGTAGAGACAGAAAAGCTAACTGAGGTGCAGAGCTGTTACAGCACTTGTCTAAACACATTCGGCCCCCAGTGACAGACACAGAGCTGTCATTCTTCAGAAACCTGGAATGACCACTCATGAATCACAAGTGCTTTATCAGTTGGGCACAGTGGCTCACACCTGTAACCCTAGCACTCTGGGAGGCCAAGGTGGAAGGATTGCCCAAGGTCAGGGATTCGAGACCAGCCTGAGCAAGAGTGAGACTCCGTCTCTACTAAAAATAGAAAGAAATTAAGCCGGAAATTTAATAGAAATGAAAACATATAGAAAAATTAGCCGGGCATGGTGACGCATGCCTGTAGTCCCAGCTACTCAGGAGGCTGAGGCAGGAGGATCACTTGAGCCCAGGAGTTTGAGGTTGCTGTGAGCTAGGTTGATGCCAGGGCACTCTAGCCCAGGCAACAGAGTGAGACTGTGTCTCAAAAAACAAAACAAAAAAGTGCTTTGTCGACCAACAGTAAGTTATGCCTGGAGACTTTTGCCTTTAAAATAAAAGAAAAAAAGAAAGCAGAGAAACTCTCAAAGGCTACAAGGCATTTCCTTGACTTACCCTGTCAACAAGCAAAGGCTCTCTCTGAGTTTTTGGCATTTTTTTTCTGTTTTGTTTTGTTTTGTGTTCCACATGAGCAAACTCACCTTTGATTCTTACACATTTAGAAAGATTCAGTGCAAAGGTCTTTTGCTGTTGGTTTTCAAGTCTATTTTCAAGGGAATAAAAGATTAGCAAATTTGAATGTTGTTTTTATGCTCAAACCAGTAGTTGGAGGAAGTTCAGCACTTGCTGGGCTGTCCTATGTGGCTCGCATCATGCTCTGCCCCCCCACTCCAGTCCTGCTCTACCCCCCGGGAGGCAGATCCACGAGGTCCACACTTGCACTGCCTTGCTCTGTGCCTTTTGGAGGAGTTGTCCATAAATAACCAGCCAAGGCATCAGAGAGAGGGAAAGAAAATACCAGCAGGGAGTCCGTTCCCTGGTCTCCCTCACTGTGGGTGGAGGGAAAGGTAAGTCACCGCTGGCTACCTGCATCCTGCGGAATGGCGTGACCCCACAGTGCTGCACCTGGGCTAGTGCCTTTGTGAACAGTCTTTTTATTAAACCCCCTACGGATTATCATGGATTAATTTGCAGGGGCTGTTTCCTGCCGGAATCCTAATATATGCACAGCCTATGAGTGGTTCTTTACATGAATTTTAGTCAGAAAAATGTCTTGAAATCTGGAATCTTCTGCATGCTGGTCGTGGGTGTTTGAACAAATTCCTTAACCTTTATTTTTTAAATGGAATTCAAAGCACTTGATTCAAGAGGACTAACCATAGATTAAATGAAGTAATCCATGTTTATGTAAAGTACCTGACACCTAGCAGTCATTTTCATTTTTTAAAAAAATTAATACTAATGGAAGAGCCCTATTTTCTTCTAAAATATCCCAGCTATTTATATAGTGTGTGCTTCATCTTTAACATGTGCAGTGAGAGTGGAGCCTTGTTATCATGGATTCTATTACATTTATGCCCAATGTCAGAGTTAAGAGAACATCAGAATTATGTCCATTAGCCACATAACTCATGTTGAAAATATTTGGCTTTCCAGGCAGCCAGGGGAGATGGTGCCAGAACTATAGTTGCTCTGGGAATAAGCAATAATAAACATGTGATTTTCTTTTTTTCTTTTTCTTTCTTGCTGGGACATCCTTTTTTCTCAAAATAGTACAAATCATTTATCTTGCTCAATAAATTAGTTTTTTTAAGAAGGGAAAAATGAAGATAGAACAGTGACTAGAAGTTTCAGCTCCCTTTCTTTTTTAGAATCCTATTTTTATACTCAACTTTCAATCCTCAGTGCTGTCAACAGGCAATAATAATCTAGATGGTCCAAAAGTTTTTAGAATATTTAAAAATATTCAGACCATCTAGATTATTATTGCCTGATGAGAACGTGCATATAATATATGTACTCACACATATATATGTAGTCACATATATCTGCCTGATAGTAGGATATATAACAGTCAAGACAATCTCTTCCCAGAGGTCATATTCAACCTGGAAGTGTATATCCTGTCATGGGCATGGAAATGGTGATTAACATTTAAATGGGTAGGAAGAAGTTGGGTTTTTTATGCTGTGATTTTGTCTTAATCTTGCTATTCTTGTAATTGGAAAACATGAACTGTATGACATCTACATTTTCTCTGTTGACTATGGATGATGATCCTTTACCAATCCAATCGACCCCCATCAATCTCCTCTTCCCCCTAAATCTGTCGGCATTGCATTTAACAACAAACATGAGAACACTTGATCACAATGCTGAACGTAGTAGGGGTTTCTATTTCTGACATAACAAGAAGCCCAGAGACGGATGAATAGTGCCTCAGTAGCTGCTGCTGTTCAGGCTGATGCTTCTGAGAGTTTCCCAGTCCTTCCCCCTTGAGCATGAAAGAGCTGCTACATCTTTGAAGCAGGGAAAGAGGACAGAAGGAAGCAACAGTCACACCCTTCCCCTTCTTACTACCCTGCCTTCCCACATGTAGTCGTCTGCCTTTGTCTGATTGCTCAACAAAGAGGCCCCGCTTTTTCAGTCTCTAGAAAATCTCAGCAAAAGAGTCAGGGTTTGGGAGTGGTTGTGGATACATCCAGCCTTTGGTGTCTGTCATTCTAAGAATATCAAGTGATTTTTATCGTTCTTTGCAGGGGACTCTGATTTTTCTGGGCTTGCATCACCTCTAAATCCTGGGCATGGATACAAGGCAATGTTTCCAGCTGCATTTGACTGGTGTCTTCTGTGATCATATAACTCTTTCTGAATTATCACAGCTCTGTTCTGGGGGCGCAAGGGAGGGGGCATGAAGCCGAGAAACTTTCATTGAAACTTTCACTGAACAGCTTATTTATTGGACACCCACTTGATGAGCAGAAATGGGGAGCACTCTTTTTTACACCAACTTGAAGAAAAGGAAGAACATTTATTTTCTAATAAATTTCCATAATCATTTTATTTTTCTTTTATAGATTAACAGAAGCATCTGATTTTAATGGATTTGTGAGATCTCTGTTTTCTGCTACAAAATTGAGGCATACATCAGAGAAGCAGGAAATTTTTATTAAAGATTCAAGAAATCAGGGTAGTCTATTTGTAATTAGAACTCTTGAGAACAGGCTTGGAGTCAGCTTATTATCCCCCTGTGGCTTAAGGTGAGGAGCTTGGGATGTGAGCCACATTGCCTGGATTTGAATCTCTGCTCTACAAGAGCTGTGGCTTTGAGCTTTTGACTAATGTCTCAACATTTCTGTGCCTTAATTTCATCATCTGTGAAATGGGATGACAATAATATAATAGCTACCTAAAATGTGTGGATTCAGTTAATGCATGAAAAGCTCTTAGTGTCCAACACATAGAAAGTAGTTCATACACATTAGTTATTATTATCATTAGCGGTGATGTCAGTATTACAGGAGACCATGAAAGTGCCCTCACTATTTATATTATTATATACTATATGTAATTTACCTTTTTTCTCTTTCCCTAACCTTGAATGTTGCCAACTACTTGTATCTAGAGACAAGAAACCACTTCCTGCCATGTTGCTAAAACTTGTTATGTGTATATGTCTATATTTTCTTTCAAAGATGAAATTTAAGTAGTAGGACTCATTCATTAGGTATGGCTATAAAGCAGATTGACCTCAATTGTTAATTTTGCTTTCCAGGAAGAATCACCTTTCATTGCTTACCTGGGAAATTTCTGATTTGTGCGTCTAGCTGTGTATGGCAATTTACCATTCATAATGCCTCAGCACTTACTGGTTAATATTTTCAGAATTAAATCCACTAATTAGTGGAAACTCTTCTTTTCCATTAACTCACCTATTTAGGGGTGATATGAAAATTGGAGATTGCAGGTGTTTTGTACATGGGAACACTTGTCTATACTTATTTAATGAAGGCTTTATTTTTTCTTTCATTTTATATTAAATGTGTACAGAGGAAAATTTTTATCAAGAAGTAAAGGTTGGGATAGGCATGGAAGGAATAATACCTCCTTTGTTTTAAAGGTGACAATATGCTCTGTTTTGTTGTTTACTGTTTCATAAGTTTACTTCAGTCTCCTTGTCCTGAATAGTACCTACTAAATGGTACAATTGTATTGCTGTTTGCTGACCAGGGTAATGTTGAAATAAGAGGAGGAATTATCAAGTAGATATGAGATTAGACTTGTTATTTTCATTTATTCTCTCCTTTGAATACGATCTGTTAAATAATTCCTAGTTGGGAGAAAGGGTATTGATTTTCTCATGTATTCTAAGGAATGTGTATATACTCTATTACACAGTCTTAGGGTTTTAACCCCTACAAATTTATATTACTCTGTAGGGATAGGAGGGCTCCAGGTTTTAAGAGGCCTAAACCTTATATAATCTAGGAGTCTTATTTAGGAGAAAGAATACAACATTATGAATAAAAATCAACTATTGCTTTATAATGAAGAAGAGTTTCACAACAAATTAAAAATTTATGAAAGCTGGCAAATACAAACAATACAAAATCTAGAACTAGAGCGTTATTTATAAAATACCCAGTGCACTTTCTTTCCCATCTTAGTTGATTGCGTACTCTTTGATCAACTCTTTCTTTGACAGCGGTTTTTTTTATATCACATTCTATAGAAAGAATAAAAAGACAATCCAGGCTTTCCTTAAACTATATACATATATTCCACTAAACCTAAGCTAAATGTATCCCTGATACAACTTCCCTTTATCTGCATAGCAAAATACCAAAGGCCACTCCAGCTTACCTGACCCAAGGGAAAGTGTGACGGTTGGTAAATTGGAAGGGAAAGAGGGGACTTAACAGACTGTGGCTAAAATATATGATCATCTGAGTACACTGACATAGCCTCTCCAGGACTTTGGAAGAGGCCCAGGCAATTGAAGGCCTTGAAGCTTAAGCTTCATTTGTTTCATAATTAATTCTCCTCTGAGGGACAAAGGTACATTGACCCTTCCTCTCACCAACAAAAAGACACATCATATTATCCATATGTTTTCCTCTCCTGAAGACTCCTAATTATTAGATGACATCGGTATGCTAAGATAAGGATAAGAAGAAATGGTTTTCATTAAAAAATAATGACTGTAGCCAATATTTTTAAAGGCTTACTTGCTCTTTAAACTAGATGTTTAACCAAGATCTGTTGCATACCACATATTAAGTGTAAATTCCCAGTAGACCCATAGGAAGAACTGTAAAAATATTCATGAATTATTTACTCACATATTTCAAACAGGCTGAATGGGTGTTTGTTTTTATCTAACAGGTTATGTTTTGATTATAGTCTAGTGACCTTGAACTTATGAAACTTTTTATCTTACACAAGTACATTTTAATTTCATAAGTCTTTTATTTTATATTAGGGAGACAAAATCAATCAACACATAAATACAGAAATTGCTCTAAATCTTAAAATATGCCTTCAACAAAAATGAATCCATTGAAATTAAATTATAAAGAAAGAAGTAAATTATTAATGGCCTATTTTTCTCCCCTGATTAGTAAGTCATACTTAGCTACAATAGTGTTGGTACCCTGGACTTTGAAGAATGCCCTGGCTGGCACCAGTGTTAAGTGCAAAAAGGCTGTATATGATTGTAGCTACCCTCAACAGAAATCCTACTCCCTACTGAGAGCATGAGGGATCCCAGAATATGAACTTGCAAGTTAGAATAGTTTTTGCAATTCTGGCACAACTACTTGCTAGCTGTGTTAATTTTAGGTGAATTAATCCACTTTCCCTAACTTCAGCTTTTTCTCTGTAAATGAGAATATGTACCTCATAGGACAGTTGTGAGACCAATTCAGAGTAATAAAGTACATAGCTCTCCTTCTGACACATTATGGCCCTTGAGAAATGTTCTTTTCTTGCTTTTCTCCCTGTTTCCTTTCCAAGTGTTTCCTTTCCTTTATGACATCTTTTGTCATAAATCACTTTATTTTCATTCAGCAAATACTTGGGGTCCGATACTGTGTGTGGGTATTTTGCCAAGTGCAGAGGATTTACAAAGCTGGTTAAGAGGTGGTGCCCCACCCCAGAAGCTCATACCATCGTGGAGGCCAGAAAAACTGAGTGGAGTGTAATATGATAAACGTGGCCACGGGGTGTTCAGAATGTTCAGAATGAGAGGTCCATTCTTTGCTGTGTGACTGAGGTCTGTCGTGCTTTTAATTTCCAAGCATCCCATTTTGGGAGGCATCATTTCATGCATTTCTATTTCAGTATGTCCATCTTGTGTTTCTGTTACCTGACCCTTTGAGAGTCCCTCACTTTAATTCTCCACACTGAGGCTGATGTCTGCTTCTATTCACTCCTCTCCAGGCAGGTTAGTACAGACCAGACTAGTGGTCTCAAAACATTTTTGATTGTGCTCTCTTTCAATGAAAGATATAAAAATTTATCATGCAGTCCAATGTTAATGTATGTATTTGATATATGTTTTTATTAATGTATTTTTCATTATAAAACATGCAAAACATAATTTTTAACATTGGTTGATTAAATTAGGCGATTGTGCTGTCGTGCTATGTATGGGTTCCTGGAAAACCCTGTATCTTGCAAAATTGCTTAATAAAAATATTGAAGCTTAAGTTTCCCCATAGAATTAAGATGAGATCACCCAAACCTAGAGCAATTTAAAAACAGAGTGCAAATAAGAGTAATAACAATCCAAACAAATATTAGCACAGTTAAATCTCGATGGGCACTGACATCTGTCTAACCACCACTTAGTCTTTTGCAGCCTTGAATCCTAGGCTCATACATCCTCCTTTGATACGGAGATCTGGAAGGGCATTTGCTTCTAATGGACACCGTTTACATCAAAATTGAAAATTTTACCCCAGGTGCACACTTTTTCATTAATTCATTGTTTTTAGTGAGGGGGACATGTCTTTGCAATTTATACAACTGCACTTGAAGCTTGACCTATTGGAAAGCTGAGTAATTCTTAAAATTCCTAAATAAGCCACTACTGGGAAAGCAAAAGGTATTTCTCTAAATTTTCAGCTTCATTCTTACGGTTTTCAAATATTAGCCAAGGTTTTCTCTTTGTTTGTGAGGAAGCTTGCCCATGATTACTTCAAAACATTAACATCTGGGGAAAATTCATGTATGAACCAAAACAGATGCTACATCACATTGATATCATTCCCCTTGTCTAACAGTCATTTGTGAGGAAGTTCATTCCAAAGAAACATGGAGCAGAGGAGATTATCTTTTTAAAATGATAATTTTATTTGTGCATAGTAGGAAAAAGTCTTAATAATTTAAACGAAAGAGATCCATTTAATACATGGCATTATTTTTCAAAACAACTTTTTGACAGTAGACCTGATTAGATTGTTTATCTTGTAATTTACCTAATGGCATTGGCTTGTGCTTGAATTTTCAGCATTGTCTTTAGACTTTAGTTTCTTGCAAGGAATCCTTAAACCATTTGTCTGTTTTGTGAGGGCTCGTTTCTCAAAATTGAATGCTATAATCCATTCCTTTATTTAACCAGCTGCCCACGTTATATATTCAACAAGCTCAAAGCACAAGGACAATAGTAAGATCTCCCCTCTCTATTCCTTTGCCTTATGAAACTCCTACTTTTCCCTTAAGGGTCTCCATCCTCAATAAGCGAAAGCTGACCATCTGACACATGCACTAAGTTTAAGTGCCAGGGCCAATCACATTTTAAACATTAATGATACCGTGTCTCCTGTCTTCTGTAAAAATAATATGAAATCGAGCTGCAATATTTTCTTCCAGCACCCAGTAGAATATCTTATCCAGCACCTCTGGTGGGCACACCCCTCTAAGGAGCCAAGAGAACGTCAGTGGCACTTGGCCTTCAACCATCACGCGGGGCCTCCCAATTAGTGCCCTTGATTTAACACTTCATAATAAGCATGGTTTATAGAAGTTTCTCTGGCACTACCTAAAAAAATAGCTGTGCATTTGCAGTCGGTCCAACTGTACCAGTGCTCATTGGACCTTTCTTTTTATAGATAACAAGATAACAGACTGAGGTTAACCCATTTTTGATAATGACATACTTTATCAACCACTACATTATCATTAGATTTGGCTTTCATGTAAATCTTCAGTTATAGATGTTATATCTCTATGCCACCTCTATTTATCTCTATCTATGTATGTATCTATCTAGCTATCATCTGTCTTTTTTGTTTTCTTATGGCTGCATTACAAAATGGGGTAGCCCTTTAAATATGTTTTTAGTAATTTGTAGTCTGTTAGCCTAAGGTAGTGTTTTGCTGTTATTTTGGTTGTTGCTTAGAAATAACACTAATTTCCATTCCCATTGTGTATTTTTTATTCAGGGCAGGGTAGTGTAGTAAAAGCAAAAATAAGTAATGAGTATAGTTATTCATTTTGAAGCATTACATTGAAATAAAAATTTAAGAATATAATAGCACATTTCAGCCTATTTAAAATATAATAAAGTAGGGACAAATTGTACAAATAGTTTTGTGTTTAATGGAGGCCTAATAGTGTTTTGTAAACTGTTCAAGAGAACTTAACAAACTTGCCCAATCATATGGAGTTAAATTCATTTATGTTTACTACTAAAAGAAAGGCTTGGGTCCATGACTGTGAAAACAAGGTAATTATAGAATATGCAGTTCTAAGAATTGATAATTACATTATTAAATTTCAACTTAATGAACACCTGAGGGCTTTACACTCTTTGTTATTAAGATGGTTTAAGAAGTAGCCCTATTTTTTTGCAGCTACTTAAAATGGAACATGAAATACTTTCATAATGAAAGAAAAAGTATCTGTATCTTCATAATATGTAGATGAATTATCCCTGTATCTAACAATCCATTATTTCAAGTGATTGCAAATGCTGAAAGAAGCTTATTTTATTCCTTTTAATTTTTAATTATGCATGCATATAGATATATGTATATGTGTGGTTTTGATACTGTATGATTCTTTTAAAAAGATCAATTTGAATCATTTTGAGTTGAAAGTGGAGTTTAGTGTGTAATAGGATGGAGTGAATATTCTTTAATAAAGATTTCAGGAAGACTATGTATCCAATTGTTTTAAAAAATGTAGCCAGCTGTTTTAAAAAATAGCTGTACATCAGCAAGTTCTCCGTAAACAAAAAAAAAAAAAAAAAAAAAAAAAAAAAAAATAGCTGTACAGCTCACATTTGTGTATACTATAGAAGGTATAGTTTGCCAGTTTTTAAATTTACAATAATAACTTGGTAGCAATTATTGGTAGCAATTATTATTGCTACTCTTTTCAGAAAGAGAAGAAAACTTCTTTGTTAAGACTCCTATTGATAAATAATAGTAATTAACATTCATTAATTGATGAAAGTCAATCCAGGCTCAGGTAACATTTTCAGCCAATCTTGAAATGGCATTAAATTCTCATTCTCTCTCTCTCTCTCTTTCTTTCTCTCTCTCTCTCTATATATATATATATACACACACATGTGTGTGAGATCTTATAATCATGGTTTTTATATCATGTCTTAGAATATTATACACAAGACTTGGCATTTCTGATTTTGCATAATCCATTTGTTTCAGTAAAAGTCTAAGATATCTGTTATCATAGAGCACCTTGCTATTCTTGAAGCTCCTCCAGTTATGTCCCTTAAGAGGTTAATAAAACAGTAATTTTAAAGTCTTTTCTCCCTCTCTCCAGTATAACATTTCTCTCACATGACGGCCATTTTCTCCACAACCTTGATTTTTTCTCTTTTGGCCAAGCTTTGTGATTTAATAAGATATCGCCTTTGTGAAGCATTGAAGGAACTGTGTGAAAATGTGGAATGAAAAATTGACATGGCAGTCAATCTCCACTGAGCAATTCAGCCAAGTACCCCATCAAACGTTGCAATGCTTGTTGAAATATAACGAAGCCTGCTGAAGAAGGAAGTTGGAACTTTACTTTGAGAAAGAACATTAAAACATAGAACATTTATATATATTTTATAGGAACATACTATGTGAATTAATAAGTATCTTATTTGCCTTTTTTGCGTGAAATTTCAACATCATCATCTTAGTCAACAAAATTTTGTTTCATGAACATATCAGTTATATTATGTGAATTGTGAGAATTACTTTTTTGGGATTTTTTTGCATTAAATACAATGATATGCAGTTTCTTTCTGTACAACACTCTGCCCACCTTTATGTATTCTGATGATTTGCTATGATCACCATCTAGCTGTTGTATAATTTTATAAATGCAACAAGTGATATTGACCTAGAAAAATTTTACTTTGCAGATCAAATTAGGGAAATCAACATCTAGTTCCAGTAGTAAAAATAAAATGTAGACTTCCAATGCAACTGTTATTTTGGTTCTCTTCTATCCCTTGAAAGTTGTTTAGTGTCATTCCTTAGATGAAATCACACTTTTCATCTTGTGAAACTGCGAATCATGCAAAATAAAAAGCAACTGTTTTTTTCAAATATAAATAGTAATTATAATAGCAATAGACAAAATCACACATAAAATAGCATTTGTGCTAAGATTACTAACCAAAATTTCAAAAGAACAGAAATAATTAAATGATCTCTTAGGGTATCAGGTCTGTACAGTGGGCCCCCCTTCTTCTCCATGTGATCATAGTTCAAGACCCCCAGTGGATGCCTGAATCCACATCTAGTACCAGACCCTATATATACACTATTCTTCCTGTACACACATACCTATGACAGAGTTTAATTCACAGATTAGGCACAGTAATAGATTAATAATAAAGAGTAATAAAATAGAACAACCATAACAATGTACTTTAAGAAAAGTTGTGTGAATATGTTATCTTTCTCTCTCTTTCTCTCTCTTTCTCTCTCTTTCTCTCTCTCTCTCAAATTATATTATTGTACTGCATCACCCTTCTTCTACTGACCATGTGACATGACGCAATGCCTAGCGATGGGATGAAGTGAGATGAATAGGCATCATGACATAGCCCTAGACTTCTATTGACCCTCTGTATTCCTGAATCTGTGTAACGAGCCCTTACTTGCAGTAGACGCCTTGCTGTCACTAATTTCAGGAGATCCCTTGCCAAAATCTTCATTTAGGCTCAATGTTTTCTGGCACACCACCTTGCTGTCAGTCAGAAAGTTTCCCGTTAATGCCTTCCACCCACAAATGTAATGCCTTTTCCATCTTTACTAAGCATTTGTCATACACTGTGGCTGTAACTTTTACAGTTTGAGGCACAACAGTAAAACTAGCACAAATTTTCCCTCTTCACAAATTCACGGATAGAAGATTCATTCTTACAGCAGAGCTTAGCGACCTCAGCACATGGTTTTGTTCTTTCCCTAAGAGTGA